GCATAAGTTCTGAAAAAATGCTAGCGCACCTTGTACGCTTACGCCTCGCGTACACGGGAAATCCGAGGCTGCAAAACCGTCGGCAACTCTTTTCACGACAGCCACCCACTTATATGATAATGATTAGGCAGTCTCAAGGTTTGCGCGAAAGCGCATCAGCAACCTTGATAGGTGTCGCTAATGATTTTATTTTTATGTGCTTTTTGATACAATGCAGAAAACCCACATTGACAAGGGGTTGTCTGTGTGTGCGTCTGTACGATTTTTTATCTCACGACTTTAGAGCTACAGGGCTGAAACTTTGGGAACTTAATCTACACGCAGGTACGGGCACCAGTCTCCAAAATGGGCGTCCTTATCGCATGGTACCCATTTACGAGCCCGCCAAAATTTTTTATGGGTAAGCTGCTAACTCGGGAACCAGAAAAGCTGGAAGGCTGAAATTTTAAGTGGACGTTCCCCGTCCAAGTACGTACTAATGAGCTCATACTAATGAACTCCGGGTGAGCGTTGTACCAACGTACGGGCCCGTCAAAATTTTTTTCGGGTAAGTCGCTAACTTGAGGATTTGAAAAACTAGAAGACTGCAATTTTAAAAGGACATCCCCCGTCCACCTAGGTCTCATTTAGCTCATACCCAGCCTCCGGGCATGAGTCATTCCCATGTATTGCCCCATGAAAGATTTTTTCGTGTAATTTGCTAACTCGGAAACCTGAGAAGCAAGAAGACTGGGATTTTGAAGGGATATTTCCCGCAGTCCTGGAGGCCAGTCTGAAATTCTCTTAGCTAGAAGCATCTGCTGGAAAAAAGTGCTGTTAATGACAAAAATCTGCGGGGAGCTATGCAAAAAAAACATCTTTGCATGGGAAGCACGTGCATTGGCCAATTATTCTTTCTTGACATTTCTTATGCTTTTGATGCTTTAATGTTTCAAAGTAGTCTTTTGACAGGCGATACCTTGTTTGTCGAGTATCGAGTACGCGATGTGTTTTCTTGTTCTTTGCAAATAAGGGTTATATTGCCCAAGTTGGATTTATTTGGATGATCTTAAGCCAATGCAATGCGCTCAGACCAACGACCCGAGCCAATGAATGGTGCACAACAGTAACATTATCAGTGGGTACCATTCTGCTCTGTGTACTATTCGATGGGCTATTATATTTTTGTAAAGTTTTCTGATGTAGACAAAGGTTTGGAGCTATCGAAGCAAGCTGTTGTTCAAAATCTACGACATCCACAGCCTTCCCTCACATGAAACAGTGGCTCCAACATTACTTACATTGGTTGTACTATCAGACTGCAATTCCATTATTGTTTACAGGTGCCTGCAACACCAGCCGATGTAGCTACACCGGGATTTCATGGCTAGATCTGCCCGGCAAGATGCGTCGTCTCTGCAATTTACACGCAAGCTATTTTCCTAGTAATCGCTCATGTGATTGTTTTCAAAAGTATTACCGTTACGCGATATATAGTGGTTGCTAACAGTAACACAAGTGACAATATGGGGTAAGAATCAAAAAAATTTACCGGGTAGAGAGAAAAAAAAACAAAGAAACCGCAACCGGCTAACAATTCAACAACAATAACAACGACCGGATCACGACTGGCCAATGTCATTAATAGCATTACAATCAATTTATCACAGATATTATCATGCGCAAAACATACTGATATCTTGTTTCTGTTGTGATATTTCTGATCTGTTCACCTCCACCACACATAAAAATTCCGAAAAAAGCAAACGAACTATATAAAATAATGCAAAAGAGCAACTGCTGACAGAGGTAGGACCAGCAGCAGCACAGAACAGGACTAAGTGCTCAAAACATCTTTGAAAACCACAAAAACCAGCTATTTTAAGACAGTGTTTACAAAAATGAAGCTAGTGGCTACCATTGCCTTGTATCCACTGACACCAATCAGTTGTGATTCCAATTACTTCTGAATACTTTCACCATCCATGAAATATGGAGAAGTTTAGGATTTCGTAGACTTTTTCAAACTTAGTACTATTTTAGATTTTTCCGAGCTTTTTTTGAATCACAATATCATCCTAAAATTGAAAAAAAAGACAAGAACGAATTACTGCTGCAATACACTATAGCCCAAAGAGTCTCAGCAATAATGTCTTGATTTCAAATGCACGAAAATGCAGGTTGACGAAGTTCCCAGCGTCACTCCCTGACGAAGCATTATTCGTTTCAACAGGAAGAGAACAGTGAGTTCTTTCAAGGCCATCACTCAAATCTACAGAAACGATACGAGGATGCTTCAAGACAAGTTGCACATCAGTGCTACCACCAAACGATTCGAATAATCGTACAACAAGCGTAGCTTTATCATCTTCGGCAACCTTTACCGTGTCCACAACAATTCCTGGAGAAAAAATGAATCAAACTCAGTCTTAGGAAGTTTTCTTGTCAGAAAATTTTGAACTGCCTTGAAGTAAACGGATCAAGCATAACCGAATAAAAGCCAAACACTGGTTATTCATCTGTGTTGTTTGTTCTAACACAATCTAACGCTGCTGGAGTGGCCTTAGAAAATCCCACGTTTTCAGAAATTTGTTAATATTGCAATTTTATGGCGATATCGATTAAAAGATGAGCAGGAATGGAGATTATGATGGAGCTTTCCACGTAGCTACTGAAGATTGAAAGACATTTTACGATAAAAGATCTCGGAAATGATAAATTAGTCTTTAAATTAGTCTTGTAAAGACTAATTTATATTAACACGCAGACAGTTCTCCTGTATTCTACATTCTCATAAAATGGAGAGAACTGCAGAAAAGCACTGTCTGGTGGAAAAAGGCTGCTGCACCTCTTAAATATGAAATTTTTTATTAATATCAGAGACCCTTTAAATGATTTAAAATATTTTAACTTGAGGCACTTTTATGGGCTTTGGGCTGAGTATTTTTATCAGCCCATTAGGTCAGCATTCTGCACCTCTGTGGACAAACTCGGGTTCATCTGGCTGAAACTCACTCCACAAAAATAAATCTATGATACTCTTAATTTCACCCTGCAGTAACTTTAACGGCTCCAAATCAAATTTAGATGCCTAAACCAGACTTCTTGTTTTCATTTCATTCCCGAATACTTTTTAACTTGTAAATCTACAAGTATGGTCAGAATTGTATTGTATCCTTTTTATTCGTTTTTGCGATTGGGCGTTATAGCGCCGCAACAGCAAAAACAAGTACTGTGACAAACCAGAGTGTGTGTGTGTGTGTGTGTGTATGCGTGTGCTTGTGCATCTGTCCAGATATTTCAACTCCGTAACACGTAAGCTTAGATGCTGAAATCTCGCAAGTGCGCTCGCTGGTCAAGTGCGACCCTAGAAAGCGACATCACTTTTTACGCATGCCTAAGTCTCACGTATGGACATGTGGAAATTTTAGCATTCGATTTTTGACTGGCAGAATCGAATCAGAATTTATGCGCAGAAGCAGGGCGAGTCACCCATACATCAATTCCACCAACAAACGATGGCAGTGTGCCTGCCAGTGTTAAAAGTAATCAAACAAAAACCTTCGCTTCCGCGAACATCCAGGAATGATGAGATCTTTTCTTCTGCATTCCATCCACTGACAAATCGCGTTGGATTATTGAACTCATACGCAGCTCGCATGACACTCAAATGCAGATCATTTCCGGGCCGCTGCATTGAACCAGTGAACGGATAAAGCGCATACGAAAACTAAACCGAATAAATTTTAACAAATACAACGAAAATACCTTTATAATGTAGCTTGTTGCACTATACAATCAATCATAAGACTAATACGTCCATACTTCGATGAAGCCAGCACAAGCACAAGCTTTAAAATCACTGTAATTTTTCATTACAGTTCTAACAGAGCAAGCCCAAAAGTTGCTGCAGCGATTTTCGGCATTTCGAGCAAGCTTTTGAAAAGAGCCAATGCAAAACACCCTGCGATTATTACAGGAAGTTTAGTGAAACAAGAAAATTTGTTTATATAAAAAAATACCATTGAAATATAATGTAGAAATCACTATAAACAAAATTTTGAAAAGGTATCAAAAAAGCGTGCGAATATTCACTAAAGTAGGCAGCGGGGCTGTGACTCTGCTGGAGCGGAAATAAAAGAAATGTTGAGTTTTCATTTTCACCGAGAAAGTGTTTAAAGAAAAAGAGAGGGAGAGAAGTAGCAGCATTACACAATATAATGTACATAACTGATTAGAATGAGCAATTAATGTGAGAGTAATACCAAAAGGTTTTATCAAATTGGACTCCGTTTTCACGTCAATAAATAATTGGCCAACGCACGGGCTGCCCGTGCGAAGATGCGCTTTTCGCATAGCTTCCCGCAGATTTTTGTCGCTAACGACACTGTTTTTTCCGGCAGATAATTCTAGCTAAAAAAATTTCAAACTGGCTGCCAGGACTGTCAGGAAACATTCCATCAAGATTTCAGTCTTCTAGCTTCTCAGGTTCCCGAGTTATCAACTTACCCGAAAAAACTTTCACGGAACAGTACGTAGGTACCACGACACCCGGGGGCTGGGTTTGAGCACATTAATATCCACTTGGATAGGGAACATCCCCTAAAAATTCCAGTCCTCTGGCTTCTCAAGTTCCCGAGTTAACAATTTACCCGAAAAAAATTTTGGCGGGCCCGTACGTGGGTACCACGCACACCCGGAGGCTGGTTTTGAGCTCAGTAGTACCTATTTGGACGGGGAACGTCCCGTTAAAATTTCAGCCTTAGAGCATCTTTGGTTCTCGAGTTAGCAACTTACTCGTAAAAGTCTGGCGGGCTCTTACTTGGGTACCACGCGAGTAATCGCGCCTATTTTAAGGATTCGAGCCTGTACGTGCATTTAGATTAAGTTCTCAGAGTTTCAGCGCTGTAGCTTTTATAGGTCTTGAGATGAAAAATCGATACAGACGCACACACAGACGCACAAACACACGGACAACCTCTCGTCAATATGCGTTCCTACATTGCATAGCTGCAAAAAAACGCATAAAAAGTTGAAAGAAACCATGTAATGCTCCGTCCTCTTTTTACTTAAGAAACAGTTTGACTTAATTATCAAAATATGAAATTAACGTACATTGTGTTGGCCCAAATCGGCAGTATCATCAGGAGATTTGCTTGAACGAAGCAGCGATAATGTCATGATATTTCCTCGACAAGAATGTCCGTATTTGCAGTTGTTGAGAAGAGCAACACCACGATCAAATTCAGTTAGTGCCATCCACTTATGTCCAACCACTTCAAACCTGAACACAAATTATCGCAGAGAAAATTCGGAAAAAAAAAAAACGTTTCAAAACGCTTAAAACTTTCTAAAAAAACGCTTTCTAAAGACGTTTTTCAGAAAGTCTTATAAACAGCTTAAGTAGGAACTTCTCAACAATCATATGCTCCACTATAATTAGCTATCGTTCTCCAGTGAACTTCTTGATTCCATCGTGTTAGGGTGTCACAGCGTCCCACAGTTTTCCATAGCTGCGATCGAAATTAAATCGTCTGGTGATCATCTTACAAGCTGCCATAGGCGAATCGAGAGCGATCCTCTGGGCATAGGGGGATTTTTTCCCCCTCCTCATCGTTCGTCAGTACATCGGTAGCCCCACCTTCCCCACCCCTCCCCCCTCTCACGGTCGTCCCGCTACACCATCCCCCGATCGCCGCTGTGTTGGACGCTCCGCTACTCTCCCCCTTTGCTAATCGACCCTGAACTGCGGCGAAGACCGAAGAGGGAGAGGATGACAGGGAGCATCGAACAGAGTTTTTTACAGTAAAACAAATACTACTTAAACCTCTGGAGAGGGGAGAGGGGGAGAGAGGAGGGGAGGAGGGAGGAGGGGGAGGCGAAAGACCCCTTGCCCCACCCCTCACCTAGATCCGCCAGTGCTTGTTGCCCTGCATCTCTCCGTTACTTCAAAACAAATGCAAGATGTATTTGAGTTTCATAGGTAACTAATAACCATACCAACGTTCTTTCACAAACATCTTTAGATGTTGGTTTTAGAAGTGATACGCAACAATTTCCATCAGGTCATACGAGGAAATATGTGTGCAATCATATGAAATGGCGAACATACGGTTCTTTGTTATTAACTAAGATAAAAATTAAATAAAAAATATACCAACTTTGCTGCATCCCAAGAGGTATTTTTATGTGTTGGCCTTTTCACATGCCCAAATTGTACTTCGTATGAAGCTTCGCTGCTAACAATATTCACCGGAAATTCAACCTTCAACATATTATATGTCATATAAGTTTTTCATCAAAACACATAAAGTGACCAACCAAAGAACGAATTAGAATGAACAAATATTTTGAAGGACAAGCAAAAATTCATTTATCGGAACAATTTTCAAGATAAGCAAAGGAGGAAGTTGCTTCGCAAAAAATAGAATTCCGGGAATTAAATTGAAAATCATTTAATCCTCAGTGAAACAGAAATGAATAATCATTAGAACTTTTACTCCAAAAAGAAAATTACCACTTATAAGTGAAAATGTAAGGGATAAATAAAGCAAATTAAAATCGTTTGAACTGGTACTGTACAGCTCTAGCTGTTACTAAAATGTATCACATGTCGAAGATGGCCAAGCTATTTTTATGTTCTATGCTATTTTTATGTTCTACGCCTGTCGGTCTGTACCCCTCTAGTACACCATATACAGGCACCACATCTCAGAACTGGTTTTCCACGTTATCAAAGCAATTATAAAGGGCACCCATCGACTGCTGGTAAAGTAAGGATGCATGGGATTGTTCAGTGGATTTAATTTATTTTTTTCTTTTTCTTAAGCCATTTTGTTATCAAACACGTCGTTCAACTGATGGGACATTTGTTTTCTATAGGCCATGAGGAGGCAAAACGGCTTTAAAAAACGGAATGTTAAATCACTGGTATATTTCAACTGAGTCTCTAAATAATACCATTTAACTAACTTTTAAAAATTTATGCGATTCATGCCATTCCACTATAACGTCGAAACAGAGATACGGCAGATGCGCGAACAACGTGATATACTGCACCAAAGAGCTTTGTTCGCTTATTTCAAAATCCACACGAATGCGACTTTCCAGTGGCGAATTTTTGAGCAAAGTTGCTTTTGGCTCCTGCAAAGACTGTACTGCGACACGGGGAAATAAAGAATAAAACATGAATAAAATATGTTTCAAATAATTATCACCAAACCTTTTTCTATGATCAAATACTCGCACTACAAAGTTATTGCACGAGTTAATTCACAGCTCTGCTTTTAAAAGTATCAGATTTGAGATGCACCAGTAATGAGGATGTTGCTACAGCGGTCGTTCGTCAAAAAAACCAAATATGCAAATGAATTCATTTACATGTTGGGAGAGGATGAGAGTGGTAGCTCGCTGCAAAATGCACTCGTTTCTGATTTTTCGGTAAAGTTGAGTATTTCTCATGCTTGAGATCACGCGGCTGTTAGTTTCCGAGGGATAAGCATCAAAAAATGATTGATATCTCTAAGCATATCTCACCGCTGTGATTAACTGTCGCGTTTCTAAATGATAATCCATCACATCCCATGCATCCCAAAACAGTGGCACATCGTCAAATATAACAAACTGATTCGCAACTACACCGCTACCAACTGCTTCGAAGATACCCCTGCTAGAATGTCTCTCGCCCATGCGATTCACTCGTAAGCTAATTATGCGTCCTGCCTGAAAGCAATGCAAGAGTGAAACAAGACGCTTGATTAATATTACGAAGCTAAACCATCTATTCTGGACAAATACAAATGTAAATAATTTAACAAATGAAAAATTTCAACAAAATATAAAAATCGGACATAATTTCGGGCATAATTTCAAAATAACCGAATTAGAACGATCTACGTTTACTCATCAGAAATTTCTGATTTCTAATACCACCATAACAAAAAAAATCCCCCCCCCCTACCACCACTATTTCCCTGTTCTCGTAGCTTGCGCTTACACTGAGGCGGAGCTCAAGTGGTAGCATGTGCTAACAGCAAAAAATACCTTTATGTATTAAGAACCAATGCCTCTAATTAAGCTTGAAATTCAAAACAGTATGGGTTATGATCCCACATTCTACGTCCCAGTTCTTGCATAGGTGTCCCGCACTCATCTGATACTTTTTTATGCGTTTTTTTTTTTTTTGCAGCTAAGCAATGCAGAAAACGCATATTGACGAGGGGTTGTCTGTGTGTGCGTCTGTCATGGTTTTTCACCTCAAGACCTACAAAAGCTACAGGGCTGAAACTTTGGGAACTTAATCTACATGCACGTACGGTCCCAATCCCCAAAATGGGTGCCATTACCCGCGTGGTACCTGCGTACGGGCCCGCCAAAGTTTTTCCGGGTAAGTCCATAACTCGGGGATCTGAGAAGTTAGAAAGCTGAAATCTTAGGGGGATGTTCCCCGCCCAAGTAGGTAATAGTGAGCTCAAACCCAGCCCCCGGGTAAGCGTGGTACCCGCATACGGACCCGCCAAAATTTTTTTCGGGTAAGTTGATAACTCAAGTACCTGAGAAGCTAACGGACTGTAATTTTAAGAGTATATACCCCGTCCACCTAAGTTTCATTCAGCTCAAACCTAACTCTCAGGTATGCGTGGTAAACACGCACGGGCCCGTAAAAGTTTTTTTTTTCCAGTAAGTTGTTAACTCAGGAGCCAGGAAAGCAAGAAAGCTGAAACTTTGAGGGAGTGTTTTCTGATAGTTCTGGCGGCCAGTCTTAATTTGCTTAGCTAGAAGCATTTGCCGGAAAAGGCGGTGCCGGTAGCAACAAAAACTGCGGAGAACTATGCAAAAAACGCATCCTCACACGGGCAGCCCGTGCGTTGGCCAATTATTTTCGATAGTAAAGTGAATTTACTATGTGCTGAATGAATAAGTACCATAAGTAAACGAAATACCTTATCAACAGAAGCTGTAATATAGCGATTCTGCAACTTATACCCGTAGTCTTCTTCGGTGGCAATAGGCTTAGTGCCCAAGTCTTGTTTGATCACTTCAAGCTCATTTAGATGACTTATACTGAACGGTTCCAAGCGCAGCAGACGACCATTGCACAATATAGTCCTTGGCCAATTGCAACTGTTAATTGCCCATTGGGCTAATGGCCCGTTGCTTCTTCCTATAAATAGGCAGTATTTGAAATAAGCCGACAAATCGACAGAGAAACAAACCTCAATAAATAGCAATGCGCACCAGACTAACCGGTGCGT